GAGTCTGGGACCATTTGGGCCATTATTCAGTGACCCAGTACTGATTGACCTCAAAATCATGCATTTATTGATACCCTACTACAGCCAGTATACCTACTGCCATAATATAGCCTAGAGTATCCCCACTCGACCCAAGGTCCTATCTCAGTCACCCCACACACTGCCCAGTACCACAATGCACTGTAAAGAGCTTGTTCCGGTGCACACTAGTAGCTCAGGTCATTAGTCCAAACAGTCCGAAAATGATCCGAAAATGTCAGAGAAGCTGTTTGCTATTGCAATGTGATACTGTGCAGCCTTTAGGGTGACTGGGATATAATTTAGGGTCAAGTGGGTATACTCTAGGCTATATTATGGCAGTAGGTATACTGGCTGTAGTAGGGTATCAATAAATGCATGATTTTGAGGTCAATCAGTACTGGGTCACTGAATAATGGCCCAAATGGTCCCAGACTTGGTCAGTATACTGTGATACACGATACACTAGGATACACTGGGAGGGAATGATATTGACCACCAGAACCAATAGCAGTAGCTGGGGAGAGGCTGCAGGGAGGGTACTACCCAAAAGTGGTAAATAGCCACCCGCTCATCAGAATCTCACAGTGTCTTAAGTAAACCTGTAGCCCTATATTGGGTGACCATATTCCCAAAAAGGCAAGTTGTGGGGTGAGGTACTAGTGTGGGAAAACACGAAAAAGTGTTTTAAACGCGGTGTGTGAAAAAATACTTTTGGTAGTTTTTGGTACTCATAGATAGCTGGTAGCTGATATAAATGTATGGAACAAGTCCCATATCTATAGCTCTAATGGCTGAGGTGCTACAACCATGACAAATCTCATCCAGATAGAGAAATGGACCACACCAGTGGAAAGAGGGTGAAAAATGGGTTCCAGAGGTGTATAACAACCATCAAATGTTGTTCATATCAGGTAGTTGATTACATAATATCATGATGGCATCTGGGCCCAAGGAGTCCTAACAACTACCCTGATTTTTTCCGCATTTTCAGGCATTTTTTCCGATTTTATATAGGCAGCTGAATCCCATTCTGCAGCATTCTATATGTATATCAATCTGTTTTTAGTCCTGGAGGGGTCCCAAATGGGTCCAGGAATATATTCTGATTTATTCCGATTTTTCCGCATTTTCCCAGGCCAGAACCAAGGTCCTAGGCTATTATCACCAATATAGCAGCCTTTTTCCCACACCTGACATCCAAACCCGATTCAGATCTTGATGCCTGGGTGCCGGGCAGTCTAATTCAAACCCAGCCCGGGTTCCGGGGCAATGTATGGCACAGCCCGGGGCATTAATACATTACACTTAAAACATTACTGGGTATTGCATAAGGGTTTGTTAAAATATTAGACATGTAATACATTAATACTACAGCATTAGGTGCGTCAAGACGTCGAATGGCCGGCCCAGTAGGATGTCGTAGGCGGGGTCGCATACCACATGCATTTGAAGATACAATGTGATGGACCCCGCCTGGAACGGGACGTTGCACGCTAAACCGAGAGTGAGGTCAACCGTTTTGTTTGCAGACTGCATCTGCACCCTAACCGTAGGATCGAAAGCGACCCCAAGAGACAAACATACTCCTTCCGACATAGCGATGATTTGGGAACCAGGGTTGAGGATCGCTTCGACCTTTTCCTTGTTATCAACCAAACCGACTATTGAGCGCAGCGCTAGCGACTCCTTCGCTACATGGAAATGTAGCGGTATTTCACCTGGCGCTAACCCTTTGAAGTATTGGTCCACAGGGTCGGGTACTATGATTTCGCCGTGCTCCTCTGTTTTGCCATACGTCAAGAGATCGGAGCGTAGGAATGTCTCAGGCGAGGTGAGATCCTCGTCGGCCACCTCTTCTAGTGTTGCTTGTACGCGCTCTGGAGTAGGAGGGACGCGCTTGGGTGTGATGAGATCGCGGTACTTGTTCCTAACTTCAGGCGAGATAGCGAGTAGTTCCTGGGAGGTGAGCGACACGTATGGGGTAGATAGCGACCGCCGGAAGACGTTCTCCGAGACGACTGGATTGTACACCGGGGCTTGCGCACGATACACTGGCTCCTTAGAGCGCGCTTGCTCGGCTTCCACTACTTTCTCCTGCGATGTATCGAAGCGGACTGTTTTGGGTGCAGTTTGACGAGGGCAATTGATGTCGCGAGCTTGGGCATACAGATGGATGGGTGCATTTGGCATATGAGGCGGTGGGTCGTGCAGTTTGCTGGGTGTCGAGGGTCTTGGCGCTGGCGCGGTTGTTTTCTCAGGTACCACCGGTGCAGGGGGAGTCGCGTTGATAGGTAGCGCGGGCGCCTTTCCTTTGTCTGGGTGTGGTGGGACCTGTACGCCGTCGAAGGTCGGGTGCTTTCTAAGAGCAAATAGCTCCTTCTCTAGCGATTCGATGTGCTCGTTGACGTCTAGTTAGAATATGTCTCGAGGGGCGCTGACCACCTTGACGTCCTCGTAGATCATCTGCTCGATGATGTTGGCTGCCACTTGGCTTGGGTTGCGCCTATGCCACTCCATAATCCGCTCGCGCATGTTTGCACCCGGGAGGTTCTGTGGCACCATTATTCCCGACGGTAGCACCACCTTTCCCTCTATGTTCCTCATCACTCTTCCCGCTCACTGGTCTTCATCAACCTTGGGGCAGCGCCGTATGGAGTGATTGTTTGCGCCGCAATAGTGGCACTGGTAGGGCGCTGTAGGCATCACGCGCGCTGGTGCGCTATTCACGCCCATCGTGCTTCCCTGTGCCATTGCCGCCAAGGTAGGTGCAAGCGACTGGGAGACCGCTTTCGTGATGATGTCCACCAGCGACGTATACTCCTCTACTTTGACCTTTCCTTCCGGGGTCTCTGCCTTTGCTTCCGTTATCGTGGTAGCAGGCGTTCCAGCAAGAAAGAATGATGCAGCCTCGAATACTGAGGTGACGCCGTAAGGAGTGTCCGCCGCTTGTTCGGGGTTCTTTATCTGGAGGCGCGTGTACACCTTGGTCCACAAGTCTTGGTTGAAGGCGTGCTGGAAAGCGCAGTTCTGCTCACGCTCTGAGATAAGGTCCCTGCGACGGAGGAAACGCGTGATGAGGAGGAACTCGCGGTAGAAGGTTGATAGGTCTGCCAGGTTGTGGATACCGATGCGTACACGCTCCCCAACCAGTCTATCCATGTTGCCCATGGAATAGCGCTGGTCTTCGCGCACCGCTGGGCATAACGTTTTGAGCGCCGTGACAAACTCCTCATATGTCTTGGCTGCGTCCTCGTATTCTGGTAACCCTTTCCACATCTCTTCTTTGTGCATAGGCACATATTTGATGGCAGCACGCTTCTTGTCTGCTTCGTTCGTTATGAGGGTCGGGTGCGCCTTGAAGAGATCCTCTAGATCTTCCAAGTAGCACAATAGCGATCGCGGGTTTTCGGGATCGAATACCGGCGCTGCCTTGTCGCGACGCGATGGGAGAGCTTTGACGTCTGTCATTGGGTTGGTCTCAGAGATGGTTTCTGGAGTGGATGGTGGGAGGACTGGATGTTCGTCGATAGGGGAGATGGGCGGCGGTGAAGTGGTTTGTGAAGGAGGTGCAGATAGCGCAGCTATGCGAGCTGATCGGCGCCTTGGAAATAGCAAAGCCAGGGGTACCTCTTCAGAGGATTCTGAGTCGCTGTGAGGGATGTCGGACGGTGTTTGGGCGAAATGAC